ACCACTGGTTTCTTTCTCCTGAAAACAGTAACGCACTAGTCTCTTCAAAACAGTAGACCACTGGTTTCCTTCTCCTGAGAACAGTAACGCACTAGTTCTCTTCAAAACAGTAGACCACTGGTTTCTTTCTCCTGAAAACAGTAACGCACTAGTTCTCTTCAAAACAGTAGACCACTGGTTTCTTTCTCCTGAAAACAGTAACGCACTAGTTCTCTTCAAAACAGTAGACCACTGGTTTCTTTCTCCTGAAAACAGCAACGCACTAGTTCTCTTCAAAACAGTAGACCACTGGTTTCCTTCTCCTGAGAACAGTAGTGTACTAGTTCTCTTCAAAACAGTAGACCAAGGGTTTCCTTCTCCTGAGAACAGTAGTGCACCAAATACCAATTCTCCTCGAAACAGTAAAGCATTTAAAGTGATTCAGTGAACCGTTTTCTTATCCTGTTGATAACTTTGAGCAACAGATTCTTTCTCCTGAAGACAATGTTTCACGCCCAGAACACTTACGGAATTCAATTGAGTGCCCTGTCGGTATTTTTGACTCTTGTTAACAGTAACATGCTCGTTCCCGGCTCCAGAATGGTTGTAAGGTAAAACGCCAGCACCCTCAAGAGAACAATGTCAATAACCATCTCTGGATTTCTACATTTCATACAGTTCCAGTTCCATAGGTATACAAATGTAAATAAACCTCTTAAGCTCACATCTAAGTAAACTACCTCTTCTATCATACTAGAAGACGTTTGGGACTGTTTCTTGGATTACTTGGGAAGGCAAAAACACTAATATTTCTTTACAATTTTACGGTATTGTGGCAGTATTTTCGGTAATATCTAGTGAATTTTTATAAAAATATGTTTTATCTAGATAAACAGATAACTTTTTTTAACGAATTATCGGAGATAATTATCGGTTACGATTATCGGAGTGGATAGCCAAATTACAACCTGTTCTCTAATAACTGACAGATGGATGTCTGGAAAGTTAAACAATGTCCCTTTTTATGTCTTAAATTATACACTACAGTGTATGTATCATGTATGTGTATCATATCAAAAGGTATAATATCCTTATGTATGATTTTAGATCTTTCAGCAGGACATATAATCACGATTTCGAGATAATTCGTATGAACTATGAGTCTATGGGGACTGTTAGAGACCTTATTATAGAGTCCTTAGTCAACCCCAAAGATTGATCTTTAGCTATTTAAAAAGCACTGTCAGTCGCCATTGTTAATTGAATTTAATGGACAATTGGCATTGACTCTGTGGTAAGTCGAGTATTTCAAATCAGTGTCTAATTTATTTTGATAGTTCATTTCAAACTAATACATGTCATTCAATTCTTAACGATCTGTGCACTTCAGAATGTGTACTCTCAGGGAGAAAGAGGAGTTCAATGAAGAAGAAAGCAAAACCGTGGAATTCAAGGCACACAAGGTATTGGGTTACACACAGATGCCTGCTAGAGCTATTTCTGAGCACAAATACCAGCCTGCCTCCAGAACTTTATGTGCCTTTCTTAACATAAATAAGTTGTGTCACTTATACCTAGGAATACAAGACAATGGTACAGTGAAGGGGCATTATATGTTTGGAGCTCAGATGGAACATTTTAATCAAAATCTAGATTTGTTGATGAAGGAACGATTTGATCCCCCTGTAGACAGATACCGGTATGTTGTTAACTTCAAAAAGGTAGAGGCTTTTGACGGGGCTGCTGTCTATCCTAGTACTCCAGGACTTACCATAAAACAAGAACACAAATTGCTCTTGCAACCAAATGTTTGCTGGTGCGAACAAGAAATCTCTCAACTTCAATTTCAAGGTGGAAAAAATCCACCCCTTTATGTGATTCATGTTCAAATAAATAAATGGGACCCTAACAGAGACAGCAACGGGTTCAAAGTGTGGCCATATTTCACTACCGAGGAAGGCAAGTGTTTTACAAGATACAATGCTAGTAACCATGAAGTTCCCCCAGATCAAGTTATTGAGCAAACTAGACTTGACCTACAGGAGCTTCTGTCGGAAGTGTCAGTACACTGATTGTGATGCATTATTTCTGCACTGTAAATTGATATTTTGTCAACGAATTCTTTTAAGATTACATGTTGTACCTATTGATATGTTGAACAAAATAATTATAAATTTCAAAATTGTTGCAGGCTGCTTTAATTCAGAATGATACATTACATTTCTTAAAGGTTGTTTTAAGTTTATGTTTTCCTTTTAACTGTAAAACTTCAATTTAAATAGAAACAATGATATATATAATGAGGTGTTCTGCACCACATAGTTCTGTAATACTTACGTATTAGCTTTGACCCAATGTCATGGTTTGGGACGCAAATAGCTTTGAATCATAACTTTGACTCAGCAAAGGGTTTTTAGAAAAATGCCAAATAAATGTATAACTGTTAACAAGGTTATCAGGACTGTAATAGGACATTTTCAAAACTTTCCTTCCATCAAAGATTCTCTGGATATACCACTTCCAGTAACTTGGTGGCAACTTATGCAACTCTCGCCAACCTCACTAATTGGTCACTGATAAAAATTTCAGTCAAAACCACGAAATTTCGGTCAAGGGGACGGCAGAAAAGCTCCTCTTCAAAAATATTTCAAAATTATTTCAAAATCTCTTTTTATATTCTGATGATTTTCCGTTTATCAAAGCTTTCTTCGGGAATAAAACTTTGAGTACCTCAATCGTGTCTTGTGCCATCCTCAGTGTCCTAATAAGATGGTCATTGAAAAATAAATTCTGTTGATTAATGTATAAAAGAGCAACCACCTAACCAATATCAGAGCAACTCTCCTAACAAAGCACTTCCTACTAGAATGAGGTTACGGAGACTTATCCTCCTGGACAAGAAACTGTTAACTGTTTTGTACTCTCACACTTTCTACGTCACAGAATCCCAGTGTCTTAATGATCCTCTCTATTGCGAGATTCCAACCAAAGTCGAGATTTTAGTGAAAGCATTTGTTGAAAAGTACTCTGTTGAAAGTGAATACAAAATAAACTTCAAGGCTGGTCGTGATTCTTGTGATAGGGAGGACTGGTTTCCTGTGATCTCTATAAATGTAAGTTAGTTAAATGTTAGTTAATTAAATGTAAGTTAGTTAAATGTAAGTTAATTAAATGTAAGTTAATTAAATGTAAGTTAGTTAAATGTAAGTTTATTAAATGTAAGTTAATTAAATGTAAGTTAATTAAATGTAAGTTATTTAAATGTAAGTTAATTAAATGTAAGTTAATTAAATGTAAGTTAATTAAATGTAAGTTAATTAAATGTAAGTTAATTAAATGTAAGTTATTAAATCAAAGTTCTAAACAAGGGATAGTTTAAAAAACAACGCCCAAGTCTAATCTTTCCCTAAAACAAAAACAAAAAATTAAAAACTTCATTGCAAATTCCGCCAATATCTCATAACTCAAATTACGGAGATAATGCAGGTCAAAGATATTATTCAAATAAAGATTTCTTTTACATAAATCATGCACAATCAGCGAGAAAAGATTGCTTTGGGGTCTTCCTCTTCTCCCTGGTAAGTCCAGTGTATTGATGGCAAAAATGAGGGAAGAAAACGCTGGTCCGTCAATAGGACCCCGCAAAACATGTCCTAACATTCTCCACCGACTACGGGCCACTTTTTCTGACAATGGTTCAGCATTGCAGCGTTTATACAAGTTTTTGTTGGAGATGACTCCTGGGTACTTTATATTCAAAATAGTGCGAAGATGTCTGCGGTGAACAAAATCTAGTTTTTCAAGGAATATTTTGGGGACGGCCCAACAGGATGAGTTGTACATAAGAACCGATACGACTAAAGCATTATACAGTATTAGACGTTTGTTTAGGGGCAGTTTATCACTCCAGGCCTTCTTGTAATTGTTAAAGGCAGCATATCCCAGGTTTATGCGACGCTGAATATCAGCTTTGCTACACAAGACGGACCCTAGAGTGATACTTTTCCTCCATGCTTCATTCCCCGACACTAATTTTCCATCACTGTCGACTTCACCCGTACTAGCTAAATAAACATGAGTGAAGTCCGTTTTGTCTTCATTGACAAAGAGGTTCCATTTCTCGAGTATAGCTGTTGCCTGGGGCAAAATAGCTCTCAAGTTGTCTTCCTCTTCATCATTGAAGTCAACATCATCAGCATATTCAGTGTCAAGTGGAAGGCCAGCAATAGTAATCGGGGGGATCGGCCTATCTAAACTGATTGTTATAGTCCATCTAAGTTCATTCAAAGCACCAGCCAAGACAAGGGTGAACAGACAGCCGGATAGACAGTCACCTTGGAAAGCTCCAAGGAGACTTAAAAACTCAGCTGAAAGAACTCCATTTACCTTCACCCGTAGCTTTGTGTTGGACAACAACAACCGGACAATCCTCAGCTCATCCTCAGTACAGCCACACAGTTTCAGGAGTTCAAGAATCGTAGTGCGTTTGATCGTGTCAAATGCACTAGACATATCAATGCCCATGCGATGATACTCCCATTTCTTTCTTTGGACAACTGACAGTAGAACTCGCTGACACCAAACAATATCAGCACAAGAACGAGCGCGTTTATATGCACACTGCCATGGACCAGTGAAGGCGTTCACTTTTTCTTCTATCCTTTTAAGTGTAGCCATAGACAGAAATTTTCTGGCTGCATTGGACAAGGTGAGTGGACGTAAATTCTTCAGAGGACCAATAGGTTTTTTTGGCTTCTGTAAGGGTGTTATAGTGGCCTCTCCAATGGAAATGGGGAAAGTATGTGTCTCGAAACAACTGTTTATGATTCCAGCATAATGTTCATGGACTGTACTATTAGAGTACTTAATTAGCTCGTTGGGTATTCCATCGTAAGTTAATTAAATGTAAGTTAATATCACTCAATTATCATACCATTTCAAAATAAGGTTATTTAAAACACAAGCATTTAATAATAGGTACATACCATGATTCATTAATTAATCTAACCTATATTAATTAAACTGTAAAACAATAATTTACAGGTAGACAGCAATGATATCTGGCCAGTAGTGTACCTCACAACATCTAAACACATTATTATCGGTATTCCACTAATGAAGAAGAGCGACACTTCAACAGGGTTTAGCAGAACCCCTGAAATACCCGCCACTCTGCAGCTACTGGACACGTTTGGGATCTTTTTGAGAGAGTTGTCTTCTGAACTCTCTGCTGAAGAGCCAGTGGTGGGTTGATGTTAAATAATACTTTACAATTTGAATTAATGAATTCCAGACTCCATCTGGATCGACCTAGGCAGGGCAACGAAGTTGACACTTTTATTGTGAAATATTTTAAACCAGTTTAATGCTTTTTTATCTTCAGTTTGACATTGAGGATGTACTTAATTTTGTGGCTCCGTACGGTATTCTAACCAACAGTTCTGTGGCCAACTTTAAGAATGCTTTATCAGGAACAGCTGTTCTAGAGACTTCTAGTAGAGGTGCCACTTTGTGTACCAGGCTACTTGTGTACCACTTGTGTACCAGGCTACTTGTGTACCACTTGTGTACGAGGCTACTTGTGTACCACTTGTGTACCACTTGTGTACCACTTGTGTACCACTTGTGTACCACTTGTGTACCACTTGTGTGCTACATCGTTAAAAAATCAGTAAAGTTTGGAAAAAGTGTTGGCTTTCACCGTAACGATAAATTTGGAAACAATGATATTATCCAACTGTATGTAGCTAACTTATTGATTTCGTGTTAAAGTGATCTAAGGATATTTATACGTCGACAGCTGTCATTAGAGCTGTGATTTTATCTTTGTATTATATACCTAATTTTATAATGATGTGAATTAAAAAGGTGTATTGAAATGTTGGACATTTTCTGATGGGTTACTTTTCCTTGGATTCAATCAGCATAAAGGGATTTGTCAAATCTGGAAAAATGTATACTGTATATTGTATACATACTTACATATTATGTGTTGTGTTTAGAGTAAATAAAAACACTAAACTGATTAGCCAGAGTTTACGACATTCCAATGTTTCCATGTCTTGATAATAATATTATGTAATATAAGAAAATATCTTTAGTCTTTACATGCCACTATATTGAGTATATCGCGGCTTACAGCTGTGACTTTGAACCATGATTTTAAATAATATGTGATTATCACTCGTTCTTTCGTATTAGAAGACACTCTAATTCGAAGATGTACAATGTACTGAAACTAACAGGACTGTTAAATGTTCATCACCCTTCACTCTTCAGATAGGGCCTGTCGTGATATCATGGATCGCTTAGGTTCCACCAGGATCTGGTAGTCCTCATAATTCTGCGGCCTCTATGTTTCGTCATCTCGCACAACTCTTTAAGAATCTTGTGGATTTGGCATGTGAAAATTTGCAGCCTTCCAGACATTGATTGGGTTAACGAGGTGTCGTACGTCACCTCAAGATCGGGTGATAGGGGGCTGACCAGGCCAGAACCCAATTGATTGGGTCTTAGGTCACGTGATTATGAGCCTGAGGTCACGTGACTATGACGTCACCAGACCTTCCTCTCCGTTTCCCGCTCATTGGACCAGGTGAGCTTGCATGCATGTGAATGTGGGTGTAAGTATAGCTGTACTGTAGTTTATACCTAATTAAACCCCTATAGAAACCGAAAATTTATTTTCTGGCAGAAAGCTAGAAATTTACCAAAATATCGTCATTGTTTTAAATTTATTTTGATGACCATTCCTGACCTAAAATCGCACGAGAAATCGATTAAACTTGGTTTCAGAACTCAACAATGCTTCCTTATGTCTTAAAATCCATGTTTTATCAATACAATCAACATCTCGATCATGTAGTTAAACTTATTACTTAACGGATTCAAGTATAGTTACGCGGTAGACAAACTAAAACAAAATTGTAGGTTTATAACCTACCAGGACCTGCGCCGAGTTAAACTCGTCGAAGGTAATATTTGGAACAAATATTTTACGAGTATCACCCGTTAAATAAACTTATATGTATAAAAACCGCTATCATTTCCTATATAAGAATGCCTCTCAAAACGGCATTTGTCAACAACAATCAAGCCGTTGAGAGGCAAGTGGCTCTTATGTCAACCTGTGGTAAGAAGGTGGTAGGGGAGGATAGGAAGTCTGGGCAACAAATTGCTGTCGCAGAGCACAGACAGCAAACGAAAAAGCAGAAGAAGTGAAGGTACAATAAATCAGATATACTGTATTTCCTAAGTGGCTCACAGGCAGGAGCTCAACCATTATTTCTTGTATTGTCACAAAAAACGTCTGTAGCTTAACTTAATTTCAGATCACATCAATCATTATAATGGATTATAAATAATGCTAAACATTAGCCATATTAACTGAAGAGTATTATGTAGGCTTTTAACAACCATATAATGCTTTATATCCCACACCCAAGTAACGGAAATGCAATTGATGTTAACCTGTCGACAATATTTCAGAAAAGATTCCCGCAAGCAAGCATGTTCCTTCGTTCTGCTCTGATCTCTACTCTGTTACTAACTGATGATGGACTTTGATACGATTCGTTGATATGATTTTTTGACGTATTGTATACAGCTTGCACTTAACCATATGGTTCAGACAAAAGGACAATTAAACTGGTGTTTTGTCTTTAACGGGTGATACTCGTAAAATATTACCTTCGACAAGTTTAACTCGGCGCACGTCCTGGCAGGTTATAAACCTAATTTTGTTTTAGTTTGTCTACCGCGTAACTATACTTGAATCCGTTAAGTAATAAGTTTAACTACATGATCGAGATGTTGATTGTATTGATAAAACATGGATTTTAAGACATAAGGAAGCATTGTTGAGTTCTGAAACCAAGTTTAATCGATTTCTCGTGCGATTTTAGGTCAGGAATGGTCATCAAAATAAATTTAAAACAATGACGATATTTTGGTAAATTTCTAGCTTTCTGCCAGAAAATAAATTTTCGGTTTCTATAGGGGTTTAATTAGGTATAAACTACAGTACAGCTATACTTACACCCACATTCACATGCATGCAAGCTCACCTGGTCCAATGAGCGGGAAACAGAGAGGAAGGTCTGGTGACGTCATAGTCACGTGACCTCAGGCTCATAATCACGTGACCTAAGACCCAATCAATTGGGTTCTGGCCTGGTCAGCCCCCTGTCACCCGATCTTGAGGTGACGTACGACACCTCGTTAACCCAATCAATGTCTGGAAGGCTGCAAATTTTCACATGCCAAATCCACAAGATTCTTAAAGAGTTGTGCGAGATGACGAAACATAGAGGCCGCAGAATTATGAGGACTACCAGATCCTGGTGGAACCTAAGTGATCCATGATATCACGACAGGCCCTACTCTTCAGAGCACCTACAGAGCAGTGCAAAGCTAGCTCCTACAATCACTGTAACACTAAAGGAAGCAGTCAGAGGGATAATCTACAACAGGAAACGGTTACAAGACACTTTTGATTACACTGGCTCCCTTTATGTGAGTCTGAACCGTTATTTAAATGTTTTGTAGTCTACTTATCTAATTAACGAACTGTTTGTGTACTTTTGTTGAGAAATTATGAGCACAACTCGATACTGCATTTGTTGAATAATGAGTACTACTAGGTTAAATGGATTTGTTATGGAAACAGGTATCAATTGCTCAGTATTGCTTGCAAAGCTTGTTAACTTGTTTATTAATTGATGATAATTAATTAATTAATTAATTGACAATTCAATCCACACGTTCAGCTAGTATCGACACTACCAGTAAAAACAGACATCTCGGCGACATTGCTGACCACCCTAGACCTGACTGATGTAGTCCCTGGCCCTCAGCTGGACAAGTTCCATGATACTTCCAAAGAAAACAGGCTGCAGCTCTTTTTAACACCCGGCTACGACGTCACTGAAGTGTTCAAGTGAGTTTCCAATTTTTGACCGCTGTTTCGCGTGATCCTGTAGGACTCCAAGGACTCCAAAAATATATATAATTATTAATTATATATATACTTATTGTATATTATATACCATAAATATTAACGCAACAGACTTAGATCTCGATAGTCTTTAAGCTGTCGCTAACTAGACTTATAACTGTACTTTTTTTAAATAGTTTACCAATCTAATTTTTGTTTCATTTCAGGTACGCATTTGAGCAGCTGAAACCGCCAATTTTCGCGACCTATAAAGTGACAAACGGTCATCCTGGTCTCGCCTTCACGCTAGATCTTCAGTTCTTTCTTGAGCAAAAGATATCATTCGATTTTATCGAGGTATTGCTATTGACAGTTTTAAAGTAGTTAAGTGTAGTTTAAATGTCTTGAAGTAGTTTATATGCTTAAATAAAATACTAGCTTAATTAAGTAATTAATCGATACACTATACCACTACTTTTATTGTTTAAGATATTATCATGATAATGTAATGATATTATCTACTTTCAATTTCCATTATTTAAATCCTGTTCACAGTTAAATTATTTCTATGGAGTGGAATGATTCCTGGGACCTCTTCCGACCATTTCCCGTTGAAATCGCTTTGTTGCGAATTATGTCCGACAAAAGCTTAAATTGGGACGTATTTGACGGTACTATGATAAGTTAACATTTCCCCCCTATTTTGTCAGGTGGCTCTACCCTTTCCTAACCGCGGTCCTATTAACTCTCTGAAGTTTGAACCTCAAAACAGTGATGTGGTAATGAACAAGAAGAAAAATCAGATTATTTGGAGACGAGCTAAACCCCCCGTTACAGGTATTATTTAAATAAACTAGCAGGAACCCGTCTAACTCTAAAGTGGTGTCAAGACTCGAGAGACTAAAATAATTATTACCTATTTAATTCGCGTTTTTGACACCACTTGGGAGTCCAAATTTTGGGCACTAAAATTATTATTCCTTGGCCAATTTTTTATTTTTTCATGCTGATTTGAAGGCCATTAAAGCATTTAACCCAGTCAAAAAAGTTTCAGTTGTATATCTTTTACGGTTTTTGCGGAAAGTTGCGTTAAAGTTGATGCCGTGGTGTCAGTAAAATGGCACAGATATATATATATATATCGTCTCGCTTTATATATAGTAAGATATCATATTTTTATATAATATTTAATATCACTCAAAAATCGAGCTAACAAGTCAACAATAACATCTCTTTATATGGGCATCACGTGTTATCCCTCAGAAAAGTTATCACTGACGGGTAACCTCACGTTTGACTCCCGCCATTCCCGTCTGGACGGACATCCCCAGCTCAGAGACCTCAACTCGTACGCGGACATCTCCTTCAAGTCAAGTTCCACTACAATGAGCAAGATGAGGCTAGATAGGGAATCTGTGACGGTGTTTCCTGGTATCAAGTTCAGGTTTATATTAATATTATATATCCACTTTCAGGAGCTTTTCTTAAAACCTCTATCTCTTGCACTGTAAGCCACCATTTTTACATTTTTCACCATACTGTAGTTCAGATTTATACTTATGTAATAATATTCATCATAATATTATCTCGGTGATAACATTGATATTTACTGTATTCTACTGTATAAAACTTGATTTAATTAAATAAATTATATTTAGGTTGAACTACGAGGTGAAGAGCACTGGTCAGAGTATAAGGGTATGGAACTCTGTCGGGGAAGTGTTTGATCAGTAGAGAGATTCAGTATCAATGCCACTGCAAAACAAGAAACTGTTTGATCAGTAGAGAGATTCAGTAGCAATGCCACTGCAGAACAAGAAACGGTTCGATCAGTACTAGTAGAGAGATTCAGTAGCAATGCCACTACAGAACAAGAAACGGTTCGATCAGTAGTTTTGAAGATAACGCAGATGGAAGAGTTTTGATATTTACTTAATTTAGTTATGTTTGTTCCAAGACGGTTGTTAATTTATTTTTGTTAGACTTTTGGATGATTCAAGAATAACTTAATAATATTATTATATGATTGTCAATTACTGAACGTCAAAACTTTTTTGTGTAACTTATCGTGTGATTTCATTTTGTATACTTCTTAATTAAAGTTTATTGTTCTGTTCATTCGTTATTCAACACATTTTGTTCGAATGCAAATTTTTTTTAATGTACTGGCACCAATAATTCCATTAACACAAATAAAAAATGTAATATTAACTAAGATCCAGTTCTAGTTAAAGATGAACTTTATACTTTCAAGTTTAATGTTGTTATCTGAATATAATTATCTCTAACAAATCATCTCAGGTAGATTTTTTAAGGAGAAAACATTACTGGCAGCACAATTAGTTGGGAACTACTAATTACATTACAACACAACATCAGATATCATTAAAGAAGGAAGACTGATTGATCGAGAAGCACCACCCTCTTCGCTACTATCTCCAATGAGTATTTAGGTACATTGATGGAAGATATAATTGTGTCAAACAATAATCAGATTGATCTGGATGATGCCTTAGCTTTCATTGGATCAATCGTGAGCACTGTTGACAGTAAAGCAGACCACATTGAAACAACCTCCCTACATTGGCTCAATGATGACTGCTTGAGACTGATATTTTCGTTTATTTCTAGGCAGACTCTTCAGTCAGTTCATGTCCAATTAGTCTGCAAGAGATGGTTTACACTGATAAACTCTATGATGTTTCGTAGACCAAAACTGAATTTGTTCACGGCTACTGAATATCATAAAGATGACAAATATCCTAGAGATGAGAATGTAGTTCAAATTGGACATAGTGTTTTCAATTTTGTTCAGGCCTTGTATTTTACAGAGGAAATAGTATCTGAGCTGATGTTATCGAAGAGAAAAGAACCATATAACTTCTCCGCTACAATCGAGGTAATTAAAGTCGTTCCATCGGTGAGCACTATTAAAATTCGCTACAGGGCCATCGTGCAATTGTGTCCTAATCTTAATAAATTTTCCACCGATAGATGCTTAGGCCTCCCTATAGTAGATCTAGAGGAAGTGGGTCTTCAACCGTTTTTATTCCCCTCAAACCTCAACGAACTTTCGATTACAAACAAGTGGATAAAGGAACCAGGTCTGAGCCACATTATTCAATCAAGCTGCATGACGTTACAAAAACTCAAATTAACAAGAGCTGGATTATTTTCGGGGCTGTCCATAGTTGAGCACTTACACGGCTGTAAGATGAAGGTTCTAGACCTTTCTGGCTGCTTCAGACTTAAACCATCTATTTTCTCGTTTATCTTCAAAGCTTATCATGGTACACTTGAAGAGCTACATTTCCCAACATCCATCATGACAATACCAGTCCCCGCTGGGCTGATCATGGAGAAATTGAAATGTGTAACTATGTATGAGATCTGCCAAAACGGTGGAATCAGGGAACACGATGAAAATGTTGTAATGAGCTTGTTTAGATCCATGGTGAACGTTGAGAGTCTCACTATATTAACAGACGATCGTCCCTTGTACCGCAGATTTGCACCATGTCAATATTTCGATTATATGAGCAAAATAATGACGTTAAAAAACCTAAAAGAGATAACTTTACCACTTGAACCTATGAGGAACACCATCTTTGGAAGCCATTCAATTATAAGGGAACTTAAAGAACTGGGCGTGAAGGTCAGGATAGACTGTAATTACTGAATAATATATTGATCTGTATAACACAGGTGGGAGGGTGAGCCAATCAGTTTCCAGCAATGACCAATCAAAACCGGGGATCGCCGTCACGAGTAAAAACAAATTTGGTTAATTTCCCCTCTGTTACTTACTTTGTTACTTTGTAGGGTTTCATAGAATCCTCTATCGGGCCATCGAAAAAGTCGACCCCCCGGACAGTGTAGAAACTGTTTTATCACCACTCCAATCAAGCAAGGAGTTTCCATTCCGACGGCTGTATCCTGGAGCTGGAGGCTCGTCCGGAAATGACTTCACAAAGTTCGTTAAAGCTGCTTTGAATTGCATAGGATCCTCGATGGTGTGCATATGTGTTGGGATTACATTCCATAATCGAGGTCCAGTGACTGCAAATGAGTTGTCGTGTAGTGCTTGATTACGTTGACTGCTGGACTTAGCTATACTGAGCACAACTGCTTTTTGACCATGTCTGTTATCTAAATTCATTTACCATATATCTATTAGTTATTTAGTTAAACATATTTTAATCATTAGGTTAAATTGAGCAGAAACGTGAGTAGAAATATTTTAGTCATAATAATATGTTGAAACATTTAATTCAATTTGAAATAAAAAATTCAATTTGAAATAAAACTGCTTTATCTTATAGGAATTATAATGTCTATTATTTCTAGATTTGTTTGATTATTTATAAGTTAAGATATCTAAAAAATTATAAATATTTCTGGATTTGAATTTGCTTCAAGACTATATTTCATGCAGTTTCTATCGTGCAGTTTCTATCGTATCGTGTTTTATTTTCTATCATGTTTTATTTTCTATTGTGTTGGTTTGATGTTGTAGTTCTGACAATTAAAATTTTGATAACTTACAATTTCAATTTTTAAAATCTTACTCAATAGTCTTACTGCTATTTAAAAACACAATATGGTACATCATGTTGTGATGTTGTATTTACTGGAACACAATATTCCAAATCTATCTAATAACTGTAGATATTTTCTCTATGATAGTATCACGTGGTATAGTTAGTTAACTAGACTTCATTGACCCTGTTACAGGAGTATACACTACACTGTCTTAATTTGTACTTGTAGACGACCAAAAGGGAGATTTTTTAGTAGCCAGCTGGTTAAAATTACCAAAACATTTATCATGTTACAATATAATTATATGTCAACGACCTCCAATCCCTAAATAAAATTTGTGGCTAGTTTATAATATCTTATTAGTTATTTGGTATTCTTGATGATAAGTGTCATCCCGATACCCGTTATTTTTTCCCGATCCATGACTCAAAGTGCCGAAGGCACAAAAGAGTCAAGGACAAGGGTTAGCAATCGAGGTTTTTTTGGGGATATGGTAGCTTTGCGACCGTGCGACCGTGCGAGCGTGCGTGCCTGCGTACGTGTCGCCCACGTGTCTGCCTGCGCAAAGTTATTTTGCGCGAAAATCTGAATTAAACAATTGTTGGCGCGCGGTGCTGAAATGTTCAAGTACATTGTTAATTTCACCATGTACGCATCCCGCTAGGGACTAATTGATAGCATAGTATTATTATTTTGAGTTAGTATTACTATTTTGCACAGATCCGTGTCAGGTTGCATAAACAATAAACATATGGTTACATAGAAATATACACGATTTTCAAATTAAATATGGAATTATATCAACTGGGCGGCGCTCGGCCTGTCACTCCGCCATATCTGCATGCTTATAAACAGTAAAGACTGGGGTTCCCAGGTGGTATGGAATATGATCAAATACTCCATCACGGATCGGGAAATTGAGCGGCCATCCACAAAAGAAAAGCGGCCGCATTTCTTGTTAATCATGCTTATTAAAAAATTTGACATTAATATATACGAAACTTTCTATCAGGAATGTCAGTTCAAGAAACAGAAACGTTTGAGGAGGTTTATATCAAAGAAGAGATGATAGACGCTCAACAAGTTAACACTACTTCAACCTGGTCATCATCAGTATGCTTTGGTAAATGTGAGGAAAACAACGAAAATAACAATCTGAAAGCTGAGGGTGTGCCGGCTAATCAGTTTGAAGCTGGTTCAGAACACTTCAACCAAGTAGGTGAAGTTGTAAAGATAGAGGATGTGCCGGCTAATCAGTTTGGAGCTGGTTCAGAACATTTCAACCAAGTAGGTGAAGTTGTAAAGATAGAGGATGTGCCGGCTAATCAGTTTGAAGCTGGTTCAGAACATTTCAACCAAGTAGGTGAAGTTGTAAAGATAGAGGATGTGCCGGCTAATCAGTTTGAAGCTGGTTCAGAACATTTCAACCAAGTAGGTGAAGTTGTAAAGATGGAGGAACTGACGGCTTGTCAGTTTGAAGCTGGTTCAGAACATTTCAACCAAGTAGATGAAACTCTATCTATTGGGGAAACCATTCCTTCTGGGACTGGACAACACGCTGAGCTTGCTAACAAATGTGCATCATATGACTACAGGACTTCTGGAAAGTTGAAAACACAGAAACAGACGCACTCCGGAGAGAAACTTTATTCCTGCAGTTTGTGCGATCATAAATATAATCAATCGAGTTCTCTTACTGTCCACAAACGGAAACACACCGGAGAGAAACCTTATTCTTGCAGTTTGTGTGATTATAAAACGAGTGATTCGAGTGCTCTTAGGGTTCACAAACGGACACACACCGGAGAGAAACCTTATTCCTGCAGTTTGTGTGATTACAAATCAAATCAATCGAGTCACCTTACTGTTCACAAACGGACACACACCGGAGAGAAACCTTATTCTTGCAGATTGTGTGATTTTAAATCGACTCATTTGAGTGCTCTTACAGTTCACAAACGGAAACACACCGGAGAGAAACCTTATTCCTGCAGTTTGTGTGATTACAAATCAAATCAATCGAGTCACCTTACTGTTCACAAACGGACACACACAGGAGAGAAACCTTATTCTTGCAGATTTTGTGATTATAAAGCGAGGCGTGCATACCCTCTTTTCATTCACGAACAGATCAAACACAAAGGAGAGAAACCTTAACACAATGCTGGGTCCGAAATTAAAGATGGCTACAATTTTGAAAAGGCTTGTTTTTTCTGGATTCATAATAGGCGAATGTTGTGACTGTAATCCTAAATCCAAGGACGCTTTGTTAAAACACCGAATTAGATTACTTTCATACCTTCGGGCCTTTTCACAATAATTTTCCTAAAAGCAATTTAGTGGGAGCGCCTGAATAGAGGAATATTATTCACTATTATTTTATATCTAGGTAAACTATAGGTAAAAATATAATATTAAACATAAGCTAAAATGTATTAAAATATGTTTTAATTGGTCATTAGAACCGCCTGTCATCGTCCAGCTTTCAATTAAGACATGTACTGCCTCAGTTGAACAAAAGTTAAATCCAAGAAATGAAGGAAGAAGAACTTCGTTTAAAGTTAGCATGTTTGATAAATTTGAGGTTGAGTAGTTGAGGGAACACTTTACGAGTTCTCAACTATTGATAATGTAAATGATTGGTCCCCAAGTTAATTTCTCATTCACAAAATCATCGGCCTTCGCACTGTTTGCAGTTTAGATAGAAGTAACTGTTTTGCTGCTGATGTCTACAATTAAGTTGTTATGCGATTCCTGAGACCACTCTATCATCCAATTAAATCAATGCTATGTTTATAATTATTGCAGAATTATTCACACAGTGTAATTAAACTCAATGTAAATGTGATGTGAGAAGTTCACAATAGAGTAATAGGCATATTCAAACTTGATAATAAACATTAGCACCAATTAGCTGTACAGGACTTTCTTTGATTATTTATTTAATTCTTATAATTTTTTTTACAACTATTAAAATCAATGTACCATCGACATACATAGGTGACATAGAGACATGGGTAGGTAGGATTACATTGATTGTGCTTTATCACATTTGACTTCATTTGACACTCCCCTTTCAATAAATCAATCTAATATAATATTAGATCGTACTAATAAAAACTGTAATAAATCGCCGATGGCTCCTTGTGCGTGACTTCATCTAGTGTGTTGATTATTTTGTGTGCATTATCTTGAATAAGTTCTATGCTCAACTAAGTATATTATTCTATACCTTATCAGTTATATTCACACCGTGTGTTTGGATTTTTTAACTCTTTTTAAAGGAAATTTCACGAGTTTTTCTTGTTAACCGAAAGGCACGATAGTTTTCTAGCGCTCAAATTCTCTCTCATTGGAGGAAACCAAGACACGTGATGCAAATGCTAGATAGTTATTGGACAGGACCACTGTCAAACTTAATCTCACCGCTGGTAAATTGGTTTTTGTGAGAATGAAATTCGAGAACCCGCTTTTGAGACAATGTAACATTTTGTTTGACTGTCAGAGTTAGCTATTTTTACCAAGTCACACTGAAAGTCTGCATAATTGAAACTGTTCGGTGTTTTATCTAAAAATAACTGCTTTCTGGTGGAAAATGACGTGTTAAATCACATTAAATGTGTGATGTAATAAAATGATACCTTGGCTGCTGAGTGCTACACACGATAATTCCCGAAGTTCAAGCGGAGGGATAGCGTGACACGAAACTAAGCCAAGGAGTTATTTGCCCATAATTATCACCTTGGCTTAGAATGCAATAATGTGTAATGTGATATACACAACATACAATAAAGTGTGTTATGTATCGTGTGCAACTGTTATTTGTTTTGAAACTTCCTACACTGCTTATCAGGACGACTCGCAGTTATACTCTTGCGACTCTTGCGGGGAATTATCAGCGTTCAGAGCTCACCACTTTCCGGGGATTTAATTATCGGACATAATTATTAATTATATTATATAATATAGGTGTGATCAGGAGACAATGGTTGACAGCAAATCGTGTGTTTTGTGTCGTGAATTAGTTACCAAATGTGACATAAAACTTCTCTGATGAGTTATGAGTATTTTGACGAATACTACTGTAGACACAACCCCAATAATTATATTAATTAGTCTAATCAGTATTTGTTTTGCCTTGGCACATGTTCAAATCTTGGCACATGTTCAAATCGCTGAGCGCGAAAGACAATCCATCTTTTTATGATATTTTGTGCGCGCGTTTAGAACTTGGGCGCGCACGTGGCTGGTCCGGTTCCGGCATAAATGCAGTTCGATTCTCTTAGTATAGGGAGTAATACGTTGTTGTATACACAATACATAAAGGACGGCCATGCAGTTAGGCCTTAGGGCTTAGAGGCCATCTACTTAGGACGTCCGGCAAATAGGGAGGTTGTAGTTTTAGAATTCCGGACAGGGGTGGTGGTTTCTGAAAATCCGGAAATTTTGGCAGAATTATCGAAAAAGTCCCATTATTATTTCAACTCTTTGGATTTTTATTTAAACAATGAATCTGAGTTGGTTTTATTTGTACTCTTAAAATTAGCTAGAAATCCGGACGTCCGGGGAAGGGGGGGGGGGGGGTGGTTTTGAAAATTCGGACAGGGGGACAGTGACGTAACGAATAGAAGGGCTCCGCTGACCCCGCTGTGCGGGGGGGGGGGGGGGGCAAATCGTCGTTTGAATGTGGGACAAGTTCGAAAACTTAACTTTACTAGCAAAACTGCGCGTTTTGCTCTAGATTGTAGATACACACTTCTTTAGAGATTTTACCGGCGTATCCTCTAAAATCACCTAATTTGTTCAATTTTAGGGAGGGCACCAAAAGGGGAGGATGGAGGAGGCGCTTTCTCGGCGGGAGGGGGGGGGGGGGGGGGGGGGCACCAACAAGCAACGTTACGCCACTGCAGGGGGAGTGGTCTGAATATCTGCGATTTTGGCGGACGTCCTAAGTAGATGGCCCCTTAGTTGTCAGACGTTGCCCAAACATCATCCCAAATATCATCCCATCGATAAAAATGGGCGAAGGAGAAAACAGATGTTGCGATTAATTACAATCAGGTAGACACAGAGTCTAGTTAAATGGCTGAAATAAGCAAGTCATTTTTCCCCAAAGAGCAATGAAACAAATTTATATTGAATTTCAATCAATAAAATAAATCGAAATTAACTGTAGATGAAAAGGTCTATCAGTTGCTAATTAGTTACTTGAAGAATAAGTGATATTTTGTTCTCGAAAAGGAATCGGAATAACTTTCGAACGCTCAATATTATGCTAAAGAAGATCAGGTACGCCGAAAAACAATTTCATGCCAGTTTGAATGTATCATATTTTGTAGTAGTTATCGATATAAGCGAAGAACATTCTTATTTGGATTGAAAGAAGGCTTCAAGGCCTGTCTGAAATAAAAAAACCCGATATTTCTGAAATAACGGAACAAAACGAATTAACCATCGCAATAAATTAATTTACCTTAACAATTAAAGTTAAAAAGAATCAGTATCCGCTTTAAAGTGGTCTGTTTAACAAAACAATCACTGCAAATGTTAGTTTAGTCATTGTTTACTACTAGGTAAGGTCTTCTTCACGGTGTAAAGTTATGACCGAGAAGAGCAGAAATCGTCACCAGTTCATGTATGATGTATCTACAACCTCCAAGCAGGCCGGCTACTACCTGATCTTTTACCGGCGTTGTCCGACTTGGTCCTGGTTAAAACTCGAGTAGGTTTCACAACTGATTTGACTGAAGCTGCACGTGCAAGGTCCGCGCGCCGCACAGACTCAGTGATCTGATTACCAGTTTTCAGTTTGCGGGACACGGTGGACTGAGGGGGGACGGCATCTGTTTTATTTGTCCTGCTGTTTGAACCAGCCCTGAAATTCAATCTTATTATTCGGGGGAAGGATAAAGGATAAAGTACATTTAATTAAGAGGCCAGTCCCCAATCAAATTCATAAAGCAAATATCAGACAGACAACGTTTACTACCCGAAATAGCATTAATTCATTCAATGAAGCATGATGATAAATAATCTATGATAATTGCTAATTATTAATTTATTAATTAGTCTCTACCTGCTAGCGTTGCGTAAAGGTATCCTAGTTTTCCTTGTAGTTGTTGACCGAGTCCCCGGCCTGGTGCTTTTATCACTGCGATAGAAGATTCTTTACAAAAAAGGCACATTCTTAATGCGAAAAAACTATATATTACATGTTCAAACACTGCATGTTCGCCAACAAAGTAGGCTATCAACAATCAACAAACCATGAATAAGTAGCAACCATGTTATCAACTCCCAAAATACCTGTTCATATTCTCCCACTGGCTCGCCAGGTTTTTAGTAAAACCCCTCGGTATTTTAGTTCGAGGTGTGATGTTGATCTTGTTCATGTCCACTTCACCGCTGTGTTTTGGTGTACGAGCAGGCTTGGCAGGGGTTACATTGGGAGTGACGTTAGGGGTGATGGTGTTTGAGCAAGGTTGGTTGGGTGTCACGGAAGTGGAAACTGGTGCTATGTTCTCTTTAACAGGACTACCTGAGAAACACATTAATTACTCAGAAGTGATACGAATGGATGGGCTCAATTCTGATCTCTGATAAAAAGCACTAATAAATTAATAAAAAGCACTGAATTTACTTATTCTAATCTCTGAATGTGATAAAAACAAGTCCAGGTTTGATTTAATGTTTGTACCTTGAACTGTGCTTGATATCTGGTCGTCTTGAAGCACTTGCTTAATCCAGTCTCTACTCAACTGTCCGGGATCTGTTTCCGAACTTACTGTTATCGGACAATAATTTGGTACAGAGGAAATTTGTTCATCAGCATTGATAGTTCTGTTATTTATTGAGGCAGAAGGTTTCGTCCCGTTGTTTCCCGAAACACTCAGATTACTTTCAAGGGTCAGATTTGTGGCTTGCTTCCTGACCACAAGTGCCCGTTTTGAGTCCGTTTTCTGCTGCTCCGGGAGGTTAAGAGGAGTTGTGGGTGCTAAGCTGGAACCTTGCCGATCTCTCAAAACGACACTTGACTTTATCGATTGCATGGGAGTTAGATCTGAAGACCCAGAACTCGTTCCAGAACCTGAACTATTTGCCGAAGTGTTTGGTTCGTCAAAGAATTTGGGTAACGTTTGACCGTGTTCAGTGTCGATTTCTGCAGGAATATTTCTTGTACTGTTTCCTGAAAGTCGGGTGTTATAAAAAATGAACCAATTTGTTTAGTCTCACAGCAAAACTGATGTTTGACATCCTTTGGAAATTCGATCCCGATAAATAAACGACTTTTTCATTATACCAGGAATATTGAATTCATTACAAAAGTTACCTATCCAGCGAGAGAGTTGAACCAGGTCTTGGGGTGGAGAAACATCTGAACTTCTAAGCGCTAAGGAGTCCGGTTGAAAAGCCGGCATTTCAGGCATGATCACTCTACTAATTTTTGGTGGTGACTTAATAGAGTCTTCAAAGATCGCCTGAACCGAGGGAGATTCAGTGAGATTCTTGGAACAGTTCGGCTCGATTGATAAGTTGAGTGGAGCTTTACCTGACGATAAAGTCGAACAAGAATTTGCTGTGTTCGGATTTCTAGTCGTGACACTCACATCAGAGCTCAATCTCAGGGTAACATCTCGTGATCTACATTCCGATAATTCAAGTTCGGATAACATTGATCTGGCGTCAGAGCATTCGGATGACAGGGATTTCTCCGCAAGGGGGTTTTCTTCTAGGGCAATAATTGGCGGTAACTGAGGGAGAGCACCAAACTTTGGAAAATCTACCCTACTGGAATCAGGATCCAGTTGAAATGTGGTGTTGTTTCCAAAGAAATTAGACATGTTTTGAGTAATATAGGTCATGTGAGACTCATTAATACCGGTAATGTTCAGTGTTTCATCGGGAGTTTTATAGCTGGCGTTTGGTTTTGATATGATTACTGAGTCTTCAAATTCCACCTCCCCAGTGACCTGACCTTCACCAATGTTATCTGAGCCAGACTCTGGAATGTCTGCATCAAGCGAGTCAAAGTTCAATTTTTGCTGGAGAGCGGCCAATTTTTCAGTCGATTGTGCAAGTTGTTGACAGAAATTCTTATCAAACTCTCGAACGTTCAAGCTCATGTCAAGTCTCGTTATTTCGCGTGAGGTAAACAAATCAGTCATATTGTTAGCCAAATCTGAGGTCTCATTCCGGGTATTCGATAAATCAGACTGAGAAATAGTTCCATCAGAGGTTCCAGATTTGGTTGACGATAAACTGGACCTCAGTTTCTCGCACCCGGGTGATGCCTTGCTACCATTCCCGTAAGGGGACTTAGCAATACAGTTTAATGAAACTCTGATGGGAGAGAAAGGCTGGAGTTTGTTCATGCTAGATCTACTGAAAGTTTGCGGAGTAATATTAATAGCATTGAGAGACACGCTGTGACGAGCAGCTGTGAAGGAGTCCCCGGAGACGGAGCGGACTTTGGGGGGACTGAGGGGTAGGCCAGCCAGACGAGGTGAACGTCGAGAGACGGGTGTATTTGTGACCTGGCGGAGGTTGGGTTTAGTGGGGGTGTTTATCGGGTCCAGTTGTACTTAGGGGTCGTTCACATTATATTACGTAATCACTTGGCAAAACAATCAACAGAAAACACTAAGTCTGTGGATCGAGGTTCATATAAACATCTCAATTAAAGAAAGCAACACACCTGAACATTAGCTAAACTGATTGGAGCAGATCGTCTGAGTCTGGGGCTCCTCCTGCGGGGCGGGGCGGCATCTACCTTTACCTCCTCTGTTACCTGGCAACTCTGAAGATAAGAGTCCCTTCGTCTGTGCAGGTTTACGTTAGGTGATATTGGGATCATGTGACTCTTCTTCGCGGGATGATACTCGATAGATACGTCCAACTGAGGTTGCAGGGTGATTTAAATATTAGTCCCACATTTCCGTCGAATCCTATTATGATATACTCCACATGTCTCCCATCACAAAGTCTGTCTAATATTGGCGTTTTAGACCTTAGTTTGGCGCTGGAAACTTAGTCTTTAGTTCACGTTAGCAGCCCATTATAATTCGTATCCCAACTTGAATATGATTTACGATTACCTTACTCGGGAATATTATAGCGGGTTAATTTATGACTGGGAAAATTAATAACCGGGAAAAATATGGCGGACTTTCCCAAAACCCGCCAAATTATCCCGGTCATGTATTTACCGGTGGCCGACCTTTCAATTTTTTTTCAGAGGTCAACAAATTTTCAACCGAAATTTCTGTTTTTGTTACTTGTTAAAGAAGTTGTTTCAATTTACAGTTACTGATATTACTCAGAAATAGAAAAAAAGACACGTCTAGTATTTAAAGGAAAATAAATCTATAACAATAATAAGTCAAATCTTCATTAAAGCGTATTCTCATTCTCATTATCGCTAATGTCCCCTCCATTATCATTATTGATATCCCCCTGCTGCTGACCGTCAAATTCGAAGTTGTATTGTTGTCTTAACAAGACTTTCATTTTGTCCGCTAATGGGGCTACTGCTCTGAAGGTCAGCCGGAGCTTAATTTCCTGCCCACCGCTTGGTATTGGGGAACGTCTTGGCTTTGCATCTTCAACTGCTCCAGTAATCAATCCACCGTGGACCATGATTGATTGGGGACCAGCTTTTGGTACACTGGTTAATGTTTACTATAATATTAAAGTATTACAATTACATAAAATTTTAGATAAATATAAATTCCCTTTGCTTAGGACGTACCAAAATATCCAAAAATGAAACGATGCACCTTAGCACACAACACAATACATAAACAACTGGCAGTGTATCCTCAGAAAAGAGCCCTATAGATAAACCTGGCCTGGGTAAGACCTGCATTGCGATTGCTATTCAGCGATGTGTGCTCTACAAGTCATCACATACCTGAGTTACAATCACGGTTGCAGTTTTATAACTCACAATTAAAAGTTCCTCGTTATCGGCCGAAATCAACAAATACACGCCGAAATCAACAAATACACGCAACAGCCATAGATAAGAGCCTTATAGTACACTTAAATCGAAGAAATATGGATATCAAAAACACTATATGTTACATCTTGACCTTATCTACACTTAAAATCTTGCCGTCTCTGATATAATGATACTTTGTTGGCTGAGCAGTAATCATTTCCTTCATTTTTACAACAAGTTTCTGGTGAGCTGCTTTCTCCTCCCTATTTCTGTCAGGTGTGATGTACCATGTGTGGTACGCTACATAATTAGATTTCTTCAGATTTCTTGCTCGAGCAAGAACCATTTTGACTGATTCCGTGCAAGCCAATGTCACTTTTAACGGTCTTGGTTTACCACTATCTGCAGGTTTTTTAATCCCGATCAAACTTGCTGCCACCACTTGAGGATCACACCCCGATGATTCCCAAATTTCGGTAATCACTTCTTCTGCCACTATATGTGGATCACTGCCGTAATTCTCTGGCACACCGTAAACAATGAAATTCTTACTGCGGACGTCATCTTCAACTACAGTTTTTACAGCTGTCTTTATACTGTCAATCGACGGAGCACTGGTAGTTGTTTCACAGTTCTCCTTCACGATGTCGCACCATGTTTTTTTCATCTCAGTTTGTACAGTTTGCTGGACAGAGTCGAGCTCTTTCTGTTGCTGTTTGATAAGATCCTTCTGATAATTGAGCTGCTCTGATTTCAGTCTGTCTATCGTACTGGCCGCAGATTTACATAGTTCAATATTGCCTGTCATCAATTTAGAAAGTTTTTCAACAGCATTAGCCAAGGGGTCTTTCGTAATGGCCATTAATCTCGAATGATTCAGCTCTGTAACGGTTTGAGTTTTCGAGAGTTTCAAAATGTCATACAACGCCACTGATAACTCTTTTTCGAGTCTGTTCAAATTTTCCACAGTGAAGTCCATTGTACAAAGCAAAGGCAAGCTGAGTAGCTGGCGTGTCGATGTAAAGATAAAACAACTGATAAGAGAGCAATTAAAATTGTTGCAAATGCTAGAATAACTGATTGTAACTGAATAACTGATTGTAACTGAATAACTGATTGTAACTGAAATAGTGGCACAGTTTACTCACTTCATGGGCAAGAAAAGTGAGAATCACGGTCCACCCTGAAATCTGATTTCCACTGCTTCAAAAGTCTTCTCTAGCACATATGAGACTTCAGGTAAAATATGATGATCACCACCCCCTTGGAACCCCATAATCTGAGTCGGCGGGTTTTTTTATGACTGGTAAAATTTTTGACCGGGAAAAATATGGCGGAATCTTCCAAAACCCACCACTTTATCCCGGTTATAATAATCCCGAGTAAGGTACATAATTTAAATTCAATTTCGAATTTACCGCACTGCGCGAAAACAGGAAAACTTTCAACACAAGCCACTCACCGCGCCCTACGTTTACAAGCTTATAAACCGTGACAGCATGTTTCGTTTCCTGCCTTGTCCACAAAATGGCGCGCAAATAACAGAATATAGCAAAATTCAAGTAAATCATCAGCAACTCACCCGAGGAGAGGGGAAAAGCTTCTTCTTACTGATTGTAGTGTCAGTTATTCCAGGTGTTGCTGCCCCATGTTCTAGCTGCTTCACATAAGTTGACGGAGAATATTCTCCTAGTTCTGAAAAATACGTCGATAACAACAAATACCAATGATAAATATCAAAACTATCCATGAGAAACTTCCCAAAGAGGAATCTAAATTGTCAAGCATGATCAGCCTTGAACCACATCTGAAAAAATATTAAAAGATTGGAATAACACAGAATATCTTAACAAATTGAAAGACACAACACTCCTTATAAGGTAGTCACGTGGTTGTGGGATAAAGCTAAGTACTAACCAGGTTGTACAGGAGACTCCAGATTGGGCTCAACGTTACAGTTGTTAACAACCACTTCAGAGTTGTTTATGTTGTTAATTGACAACCCCGTTGTGTATGTTAACCTCTTTTGTTGGTCGTTAAAACTACCAGGCTTTGCCTGGACATGATAAGAATTTTAGTTATATTATATATTTTTAAATACGTTACATACGTTAACACTCATACCACCATTATATTATCCATGCATATTGCATAAGAAGATCAGAAAAATCGATGAGCCCCAAAAAGTTAATTTCCAATACGTGATTAGGAAAATTCCGTGATTTAGTTAGGAAAATCCGGTGCTGCATAAAAACAAGAAGAATCTATGAAAATATGAAACATACCTTGAAGCAGAAGACGGGTGCCTTCTCTTTCTTCTTTTTATCAGTAAGTGGAGTGTCACAACCTGTCTGTTCGCCTGTAACATCAGTAACATCTGTAGTGGTCGAAGTGGTGGTGGTGACTGTACTGCCCTCAGAACTGCGGTGGACACGTGATCTCTTGCGCTTTAGTCGCGACTTACGATAGCGGGATGTCCTGAAAGTGTGTTCATTTTACATTGTATTCGACGACGACATCTGCATGGGATGTTCCATCAGTCCCTTGTCACCTAACATTATCGAAACACCACCATAAAATCACGTGACGTCATCACAACACAACGTGACGTCACAGAAATTAAAAAATCTTAACCAGATCAATCATCCCAATCATTATAAGAAGGTAAAATAACAAGGTATTATAACTTAACAATAAGATGCCACACTCACAATCCCTCGCTGAGCCTCTGTTTAAAGTTCTTCCGCTTAACGGGATCAGCTTGTGGTGACATGTCAAACTTAGATCTCTTGTTTGGGGGATCTGTGATAATGTAGTGGTTAGATACAATAAAGCTTACTCCTTATAATGCAACGTGAAGTCGCTGGCTGTTATTGTGTGTATATATCTGCATTAACTTTATGGAGGGCGCGAAAAGTTATCTTTTTATGGAGGGCGCGGAACATTTAAAAACATAAATTTATATTTTCAAGCACAACTAATAGTCCGTAAGACGGACATAGCCGATACCGTTAGTATAGATAATAGATAACATTGTGCCATTCATTGTAGAACGTTGTGACGTCATCAAAACAACACGTGACGTAATCAAAACATCACGTGACGTCATCAAAACAACACGTGACGTCATCAAAACATCACGTGACGTCATAACAAAACCACGAGATGTCACAACACCACACTCACCTAGATCTACTGGTGAGGGAAAGTCCGTCACATTTACTGTTGTGTTATTCGGTTTGGCTGGTTTCTTCCTGGGATCGACAGGAGTCTGTCTCAATAACGCTTTCCTGTAACATTTGTTGTGAAATATCACGTGACGTCTTCACAAAACTACGTGACGTCATTCGAATACCACGTGACGTCATCAAAACATCACGTGACGTGTCAGCAACGCTTTCTGTAGTCTATTTTCAAGACTTTTTGTCCAGACTTATATAATTATACAGCGCATATCCCTATGGTAAAAATTATCTGTAGGGTATTAAATAATCTACTCGGGCATACAACATGACAACTTTAAACATATAAAGAGTCGTAATGTTAATGATATTATAAAACTGTGGAAAAATAATTATAACAAATACTGGAAATAACTGAAATATGTGTAATAACATAAATATCATTATAATATCTGCAAATTCCGTATTTATAAAACGTGTAACTGTAGCAAGACAGGTAACAAGACCGGTTATATTGCTTGGAGTTACTTGTGACGTCATCAAAACAACACGTGACGTCATCACTAAACCACGTGACGTCATTTGACAGGACATGTTATATTTCCCGGAGTTACTTGTGACGTCATCAAAACAACATGTGACGTCATCACTAAACCACGTAACGTCATTTGACAAGACAGGTTGTTTGTCTCGGAGCTACTTTAAAGTAAGTAACTCAAGTGGATGTTACAAGCGATATCTGATCATTAACAAGATGGTCACTTATATTGGCTGAAAGTTAATAATATTCAGTTGTGGAACTGTAGGTTAAAATAACTTACTGATAGGAGCGATATAGAAACTAAAGTATGAACTTCAAGTTGCACGATAATATAATATTATATCAAATGTAACGATCATCAGAACTATCTTATTTTAACTATAAATCTCATGATTTAGTAGATTTCAGATCATAGCATTTGGTGACAAAAGTACAGCCAGTAACGTCGTTCACGTCATACCATGCATTAACAATTTCAAATTATTCTTTTTTCAAATTATATTTTTAATCAATGGCTCATGTCTACAAGTGCAGGTTAGTGTTGGAATTCATTTAAATTTTACATAAATTAACTAATTTCTAAAGTTATTAGTAACAATAAATTAAATCAGATTTGATAATAATTATTTTATTCAGCTTCCTAAGAGTCCATGCTACTTACCGGCCGTCCGCGGTCATGTTCCTTCTTAAACAGTACCTACGGTCAACATAATTATGACATAATATTACTAGCATTGCTACAATCCTAAGCTACATCTGCACAACTATAAGAGTTGTTAAACTGCTGAAGGTTAATCCTTAATTAAACATCGTAATCCTTCCTTCATTTCTCAAATGATTGTAATTTTATTACTCTTCTTTCGTATGTTTTAAATAATCCCCTCAAAGCTTCTACGAAGAATTAAAATTCACTTTATTCCAAAATCCAAAGTTGTATTATTGTCCTACTACTATTAATATGCGAACCCCCCACCCCCTCCCCCCCCCCCCCCCCCCCCCCCCGACAGATATTCTCGATATTCCTATAATTGTTAGATCTCCTCATTTAGATTACCTGTACAGTACATAACAATGGACTCTACATGGTGAATGTTAGGATCATGACAGGTGAATTAAAATAAAACTATTCGAATGATTTGAGACTATAAAAGTTTAGCAAGTCGAGCGAGTTAAAACTCCGTATGATAATATGGAGGGAACTGTATAAATTATAACTAGCTGTATACCTGCGCTGAGCCGTGAGAAGAGGAGTTCCGATAACAGGTCCACGTGGAGCAGGCCCAGGTGTTCTGATACAGGGAGTAGAGAACGACAGATCTGTGAGGGAGTAAAGTTACAGATCTGTGGAGAAACTTAAACGAAGTCTAATTTTATACAGAGGTAATTTGTTATAAATATTTGAGTCAGGCCATATTTAAAGGAATACAATAGAGAACTGGAGAAGTAAATTAACAGGGATTCGAGGATGAAAGTTAAATAGCTAAGCAGCATTATGCAATTCAGCACATCCAAATAAGAAGCAATACTCCACCTCCGTGTATGGGAATATTTCTCATCTTATTCTCAACACTGAGATCTTGGTTAGAGACGGACTTTCTAGTTAAAGTTGGTCTGGTTCTCAAAACAACAGAGTGTTTAGTCGTCGTCTTGTTGTGTTTGAACACGCTGGTTAGTATACCTAAATGTATTGCTATTACCATCATGTGACGTCATCACAACACCTCGTGACGTCATCACAACACCACGTGACGTCATCACAACACCACGTGACGTCATCATAACACCACGTGATGTCATCACAACACCACGTGACGTCATCACAACACCACGTGACGTCATCATAACACCACGTGACGTCATCATAACACCACGTGACGTCATTATAACACCACGTGACGTCATCACAACACCACGTGACGTCATAACAACACCACGTGACATCATGTGTTTGAACACACTGGAGGTGTTGCTATTACCGTATTAATTTTTGTTTCAAATTGAAATCCTGTGATTAGTTACAGAAGAGTACTTCAATTTAATGTATAATGTATAATGTATAATGTATATGTTGTACACTACCAGAAAGAGATCCGCTACGTTTTCGTTTCCCTTTCAAAGGTAACTTGTACGCTGCTTCCTGTTCACTGACACCCCAAATACCTGATAAAATATCGTTTTAGAATAATATACAGTGTATAAGGGGCCCTGTATAACAGTGATTGCACTGTCGTGTGCTTCTGGTTGAGTTATTATCTTATTTTCAATTATTTGCCTCTACATATACTCGACTGCTCCGTTTATTTATTAACAGTACTTCTTGAAAGCAAACAGGTAACACTGACTTTTAATAACCATCCTCTCTCAGTGTATCACTAACAGTAAGGTAGAGTATCATGCTCTGTGCAAGATGGGCAATATACTAAGTTAATAAACTAATAAACTAATAAACTAATAAAGTAATTAACTAATAAAATAATGGACTGTAATAACTGTCCCGCACTCACCACTAAGTTCCAGTATCATGCTCTGTGCTCTGTGAGCGATATCATCAGGAACCAGACCAATCACTGAACTGTTCTGAACGTTTACAATTTATAGAATTCTGATTCATTATATGACCATTCTGATATGAGATTTGCTCTAATTTTCTTAACTTGAAATCATAATATTATAAATCATTAAGGATCAGTGGTACTAAACTAACAAACTACTAAACTGATGAACTAATTTAAAAACAAATTAACAAATTAACAAATAAATGAACTAATTCCCACGCTTTCTGACTACTACAAAGTAGCACCTGTATAAGAGTCTCCATAAGCTGGGTCTCCAGTTTTATATTAGTGCCCTCAGCAGCAGAGCTAGTGGCTCGTATCACATTAGGTGTAATAACTACAGCAAGGTTTGATGACGTCATCTTGTTAGATGAGCTCTTCTCCGCCACAGTATGTAGGAACGTTGTCAGAAACTGTTGGGGATGTAAAGATGGTTAGGAGGCAAAGTTACTTATTATCAGGATATGATTTCTAGTTATTTTAATTAATATAATCCGTATTTAATAGTCTTTTATTATATTTTAATGATCGCGGAGGCAGAACCGAGTGCAAGTGGATTGTAATGCAAATTGTAATTGATAATGAACAAATAATATGTACAGTATTCATATTCAATAATCTATATAAGTTATAAGTGATATGGCATATCATCACTTAAAGATTATATCTTAAATATAAATAAAAGTAAGAAGTAAGTTATATTAAGTTATAATACCTGTAAAGTGTGTCGGTTAATGTCAGGTAAACAGAGCGTTAGTGATAACACTGCTTGCATTCTGTCATCTTCCTCTTCCAACATCTGACTCTGTGGGTTATCGTATTTATTAATTAAATTTACTAATCTATTAATTTATTAATTTATCAATTAGTTGATGTCCTAATTAACTAATTAACTAATAACTTAATTTACTAATTAACTTATTAGATTAATATAGCTTATCTTTAGCTAATCTGCTAATCTACTGATTTAAATCGCAATACTATGAGACAAGGCCTCTCTGGTCTCTGTCACCTGAACAAATGAGTTATAGAGATCATACGTCAGGAGCGGTACAGGGAGTTCACGTAAGAACTGTTTCATAAGACTGGCAACATCATGAGGGTTCGATTCCTCGTCAATACCATTACCCTCATTTAGCGAGATCTGAAAGATGAATTTACTGCAGTAATCAACTAATAAGGGCTCTGAAAATAATTATATACATTGAATCAATGATATCATCTTTACGATGAAGCATGATTTTTTTAAATTTAAAGATGCCTCCGGTTGGCGTCCCTTTTAAAAGAAATCTTGGTCCAGCATCCCGATCTGTCCACATTTTGTACCCTGGTTCCCCATGTCCTCACCTATCTACCAGCTACCTGTATCTGTTATGGGATTACTAATTCGCCTATGATCTGTCTCCTTAGCCTAATAATAGTGCTCCTTATCCCCCTCCTCGTGACGCCTCAAACCTGTCCCTATTTAAAGATCAAAATATCAAATTTACCCGAATAGCTTTTTGTCTGGACACAGACCCGCTCTTTCTGAACAGTCCCTCAGTTCCAAGATGGTGCAAGAGAAAGTTGCATGATCGCAGCAATAACCTGAACAATTTTATGTGAAGCCAATTTTTTGACCAATTTTTCAAAGAAAACAAAACGTTCGTGAACTGTGAATTACCCACATTTTTAATTGGGTCAATTACACAAATTATAGAAAAATTGGAAAATGTGATGCATGATTTTAAGACTTAATTAAAGCTTTTATTAAAGCCTATCACCAAAATAACTATGTGATCCTAACTTAAAACTTGTATTGCACTTCCAAAATGTGATGTAGCTGTACCAACCTAGGCACACGAATATAAGGCTGTCCAGGCACAGGACGAGTCTCTAACTCGGCCAGTGGCTTCCCGTAAATACCACACTCATTCTGAATAGTTCATATTATTTGTATGCATATAATTATATTGATGTTGGAGTAAACGTTTACTCACTACTAATTTGCCCTCTTCATATTCAATTTTAATAGCTTCGTTCAGCCTACTTTTGAAGCCCTATTACGGTATTTATGTAGTATTTACATACAATTTATTAAACAAAATATAATATGCGTTGATAATATTTCGACATGACAATCAGAGCTAACCAAATCTAAATTCTGATAAAACAATTCTTAAAAGTCTGATCACCTGATACTTTTCTGAGAGATGAGAATTGACTCCTGCCTTACTTCTTCGCTTTTGGGGGTTGGTGTTGGCAACTACACCCATCTTGTTCAGATCTTCTAATATCATGGTCCGAATGGGACCTTGCATATACCTGAAAACAATTTAATACATTATGATTTATCATATTATATTGTTAAATATGTTAAATATAATGGTCAATGTAGTCATATAATAGTAAATATAAAAAATAATAACAAATTTTGAATTCTTTACTTTAAAAAAGCTTTCTTTATTTTTACAAAAACCATTTTAGAGCATATAATATAACTAGAACTAATGACCATTATATATGAGATTAAAATTATACACTTACTACGTATATATTATGTACATTGTACAAAGTAAAAATTATGCAAACCCATAACTAGAGTAATCTTTCATCTTCGAAAATAATTACACTATGTTATCACTGCAGCTCAACGTCATGGCTTTCATACGTTCTGTTGTAGCAGACATCATCAAGCCATCCTGCTGATTGTCTGGGTTTTTAATTTGCTGGGAACTGGGAAACTAGCCATAATTAACCTTTGCACAAGAAGCGGGATAAGATTGGGTTTATTGGGATAAAAACACTATCTAAATTTCTGCACATATCACAGCACTGAGCCCAGTTTAATCTTTGAGAATCTTAAACATTGGTGAGCATCTTTAGTGGGAGCAAAAATTTAGTCATTTATCAGTAAATAAATTTTCAATCTCAAATAAACTCTGTTTATTTTGTAAAAACGCCCTTTATAACCAATAATTTTCGGACACCCCAGCTCAGGTATTGTGTAACACCAGGATTTGACACGTTCACAGGCTACCACCGCTTGTGAAGTCTATGTTTCGGTTTTGGATCGGACACTCAAAACAAGAATAGAGGAGCGGTCTACACACTCACAAGCTACCATTTTTTGTGTAACCACAGGATTTGACATGCTCACAGGCTTCCATGTCTCGTGTAACTCCAGGATTTGGTTTTGGATTGGCCACTCAAAAAAAAAATTTAATTATATTAAATTAAAATTAATTAAAGAGCGGTCTACAGTGAAGTTGAAGGAACATTGCATACTCCTACGCGTACGAGTTGCACGTAGAGACGTAGCAGTCCCTGTCTCTCCGTCGTTAACCCAGCGGGGTTGCACCGGAGGCGGTGGTAACAGAACTTTAACACTCTCGGAGTCTGTTGTCGATATCCATGTTTAATATATTTAATATGGTATATAATTTGGGAGTCTCTCTCTCGAACACACAGGGAGGCTAAGTGCAAAGAAACTGCTGCTAACTGCTGCTGACTGCTGATAACTGTTGCTAACTGCTGCAAATGGCGCGTGCGCAACAGCAGCAGTTAGCAGCAGTTAGCAGCAGTCAGCAGCAGTTTATTTGCACTTTGGTCTCCCTGTGAGCAGCAGGAGTTGGAGAATGGGGACACTCAGTATTAACTCTCTGTCCTCGTCAGTGTTCCTCTATATTTCCCTCGGTAGTTACTCTCCCACTGAGTGTTAACTCTCTGTCTTCGTCAGTGTTACTCTACATTTCCCTCAGTAGTTACTTTTCACTCAGTATTAACTCTCTGTCTTCATCAGTGTTACTTTACATTTCGACTAGAGACTGTGAGAATTTTCACAGTACCAAATTTATGATACCTTTTTGGAATGATCAGTGAATAGCTGCGATGAATTGACATCGTCAATTAATCTAAAAATTTGCGAGAACCTTCCAATGGGGCTTTCACAACTGTCCACAAAATTTGGTGGATATCAGAGTTGATATAGTGATGAAAATGGGGCAAAATACGCTGCTTTTAGCTGTCACATAATGTTTGATGGTTGGATATGCTTTAAATTTTTCAGACACTTTCTGCTTTCCTTGTAAGTTTATGAGTAAGCTTACCAATTTTTGACGGATGTTACTCGTCCAAATTTATTCGAAGTGCAAGTGCTACGAAGTAGCGCGCGCCGGGCCAGACCATTAACAATGGTCAAACCAATTTTTGTTAAAATTTACCTGGGGACCTCAGGCTATTATGTTCATAAACATAGAGATTCGGCGGAATGACAGGCTGAGCGCGACCGCAGTAAGTTAAAATTGGATCAAGGGAAGGTTACTCAATATGCATTTGTTTTTGCTCTATCCAGAGCCCTTATGCGCTTGCAGTAGCGCGCGCCCGCAATGGCGCGAAAGCACATGGTTAGGTGTTGTCATACGTTGTATGACCCGCCGCGCACAAAGTGCGCAGCTCCCCCTGTATCGTCGAAGACGATACTTACTATAGTGAAGCGACAGTGGGGGTTACCACGTAATACAAGTTATGTGAACATTTGTTTTAGGAATTTTGTGCTGGCCGAAATTATAATTAGCGCTAAAAAACCATCCTACAGTCGGCACGCGCGGCTCACTGTCGATGGCGCACTACTTGACGGATGTTACTCGTCTAAATTTCTTCGAAGTAGCACGCGCCGCTTTCTCCATAGCACGCGTGCTACAAAGCCGGGCCAGATCATTAACAATGGTTGACGCACTACTACCTAAAGATATTTAATAATAATATTGAAACACTTGACTACTATAACATATAAATTCCTGAACGTTTAAGACTCGTGATCCACCATTTCTTGAAATACAAAGGTTTACTGGCTAACACTTGTAGTTGTACACTTGTAGTTGAATTTAGAAGCTAGTGCTGGGATTAAATTGAAAATTGGAGAGAGCGGACAGTAAAACGTAAATTTTGGGGCGGCTTGAAATCCAGAATGGTTAATAATAATAACAATTTTAATCAATTCACATATCACATATGTATCAATTTTGTGGATTTAAAATTGTTTCAAACAACGTCAATGTATTTCTGGAGCCGAATTTTGATAATATTTATTGAGTTAATTTTCTGGCGTTGAAATTGAATCATTGCAAAAGCAGAATATTAGGTTTTTTTAACTTAGGGAACCCAGGCTATTATATAATGATCATAAAAATAGAATTAGAATAGAGATTCGGCGGAATGACTTGTCTCACGTCGTGATTCTTATTGCTCATGTCATCGAGTCATCGCGTCAATTAATTTAATAATAATTTCGCCCTATCATGAAATGTATGATGTTAAACATATCTAAATTTTGACATCTAATATATCAGTGAAACACCTGAAGATTAGGAAATTTTTTAAATGAAACGCATCATGCAGAATGCAGATAAAGGTTAAACAAACACTAAAAAAATGACCTTGCCATAACGCAAACTTTAACATCGAAGGAACATGAACAATAGTGAATAGTTAATAATAATACAATGTCAATACCTCGATTAGAACAAACTTTTCGTTTCTAGTCAATCCTCACTAACATATTTTGATAGAATAGATTTAAAATCTATTTCAAGGCATTGATGAAAACTTTCCTATTAATATTATACTGCTGCAGTAGTCGATTTGGCTAAACTTTTTCATAAAATCATTATTGTTAAAAATGAGGAACAATAACAACTAAGATTATCAAACGCCATGGCTATAGACTTTATAGTATAACTACAGGGTGGGCCAAAAGTCAGTACCCATACGTTGGCCTTTATAGCTCAGTCACTGAGTGCCCAATTTAAATACTTCCTTCTGGTATGACTTAGTACCACCACTGGTTCGAGGAATTTGTCAACTCGAAAAATATTTGTGTTCATTTTTTTCAAAAGGAGGTTCATTTTCACATTTATTTGATAGTTTGGATAGTCGGATCAAGCTAAATGTTATTGAATTGTGTTTGGCCATTCGAATTACGTTTGTCCTGTAAGAATTAGAACTGTAGCTTCTCAGATGACCGAGATATGAAGCATAACGAGTTTATTCATTACGTGTGATCAGGTGATTGGTTTACCTAATCACGTGATAAGGTGACCCCGTTAACTACCCCGTTAAACATTATGGGAATTGTTCAGGGTGCCCAATTAAGGTGTTGTGTCACAGTGTCACATAATCACCCAGTCAATTTTGTTAACGAGATACAGAAAATGCTTGATAACTTCGTCATTTCTAATCCGTTTTGCCTCATGTTTTCAGATCATATGCAACATTTGATAATCTACCGTCTCTGAAAAAATTAGGCGTTCAGCATGTTCAGAGAAAACAATATAGGTGTTTCAATATTGAATGGGCGTGGTCTAAAATATTCGAATTTTCAAATTTTGACGACGGAATCCTCGAGCCAGTAAGTACAGTATGCCATCTGCAAAGCAACAGCTCTCAAATATAACACACGGTGGAGCTATTAAGGCCAACGTATGGGTACTGACTTTTGGCCCACCCTGTATAATATTATAGTATAATATTATAATATACGAACTTAATTAATTGTATCGTGCATAACCATTTGAAAACTTCTTCTCGAATTTATCGTTGACTTTGAGCCACAAAGCTTCATAGTAACCATGGTAACGGTGTTCAGCACAGAGAAGCTGCTCTCACTTCGGTCGTTAAGTTATTCAGATGAGAGGGTTATTAGATGCGTCGGGCAGCTTTTCCTGTCCAGCGAAATACAATGCAAGAAATTGTCCAAATGTCATAACTGAAAGAGTTTGCAATAGTTGAACAATCAATACACAATAGGGAACGACATGGTGGCTATTTCTATTTCTAGAGTCCAGAGCGGCAGGGCAAATGGGCTAAACGGTGTGGTGGTGTTTGTCGCATAGAGAAAACTGAACACGTGACCGAGAATCCTGCTTCACGATTGGTCAGGGCTCAGGCAAAACCAGCTCGACAGCTAATTGGTCCAGCAATCAGCTCGTTCAGGAGCACACATCGTTCAGCTTATACCCTCGGCCTCAGTTTTCAACGTGCATTATACGTGATTTGCTGCAGTCTCTCTTTTATTTTCTTCTATATCAGTATCCTTGCTGCCTTGCACCTTGTCATGTAGTCCAATAAGTCCATTTTATCTATAACGCGCGCTCCTTCGTGACATTGTTATTGTTAGTGATTAATGATTTTGTTTATTATCAATGACAATAGTGAGCGGTCTTGTAATAACTTTAAAGCAGTTTTAATATTATAATTATATCTTAATCTATTTATAAAGCGAGACGATATATAATTATATATATGTCTTTATTATATTTACAATTCAAAGAATTATTCTGTATGTACGGCCGCCCACAAGCAAATCACATGAGAAATAGGAAGTTGCATAATAACCATGGTAACGGTGTTCAAAAGCGTACGTGCGTTGTGTAAGCGCAAAGATTCGCGAGCGAAATTTTGATCGGTTTTGTGGTAATTACGTTATGTTCAGTGCGAGCTATATTTTTAACGGCTGTATCTTCGGTGGGATAAATAATTTTTGATCCGATAAAAACTAACTGCCAAAGAAATACAATTACAATAACAATTTTATTAGCTTCCTCCCTGTCACCACGGGCTTTCTAGTCTATATTATTATTATATTTTAAACTTGACGAAATCCCCCGACAACGGGGACATAGAAGAAAAACACTAAAAATTTACCAAAAAGCCCGAATTCTCGGTTGAGGCCAATTTCAGCACTCAAATGGAGTTGAACCC